TGCAGGCAGACTTAACCTTAGCAAGGGGTCCAAAAGCCTAGAGTCCACTATGTCAAATTAATAGCTCCCACCTCACTCACTATCTTAATTGTTTAAGCATTATTGTATTAATGTATTAAACATTAAATGTTTAAGCATTATTGTATTAAGTTTAAAATGCATTATTGCATATAAAGAAGTATTGTATTGTATTGTATTGTATTGTATTGTATTGTACTTTGAAAGCTGAATTTTGCATAGCATTCAGCTTTTCAATTGTGTTCTCTTCTAAATTTTGTTCTCTGAGGGCAAGGCCCTGTAAGCCACTGTGACAGAACAGCATTCATGGCTGTTGGCATAGGACTAGGACGGGAGTAAACTTGCTCCCGGGCTGGCTCCGCCCATGGCCAGTTGTCTACATATGTCTGGCTGCCCTGGTTTCGGTGGACAAGGTCCGAGGCAGCAGCAGTTACCATTAAGAGAGTGTGCTCTGTGGGAGCTGCTCTCCATCAGTGTTGGGTGGGTAAAGATCCCTGGAGAGTGGCTCACTCCTTCCATTCTGACCTCACTGCAGCTTACACAGTGTCCCCAGCCCTACTGATGACAGCCACCTTGGAGCAACTGAGGGTCCTAGCAATGGAAGCCCAGATAATGCTGAAGAGCCTGGATCTGGGCTCTTGGGGCTCTCAACCATCTCTTCAGTCTTGCTTGGACTAGGTCAGGGAGCCTGGTCACTGTAAGCAGATTATAGGGTCTTCTTTGAAGACCTGGAAATGGCTTCCTCTCTCTGGGTGGTGTCACCTGCCATGGTCCTGCTGCTGGTGTGATCCTTCTTCTACCAGAGCCCCAGTGTTCTCTCCAGATGCCCAGGCCTCTCCAGATGGTCTGGCTCTGTTCCCTTACTGCTCCAGGCTTGCAGTTATCCTCAGGTCTTGCATAGGTCAGATCTAGCCAAGGCCAGGAGACAGGCTGGACTGTGGCTTCAGTCAGAGGCCCTGCTTCTACAAAATCCCAGCTGAAGTAGAAGGATGAAACACTTACAGGGGACAGAGAGTTACCAGAAGGACAGAGGACTTGATCAGGAACCTCTTAGAGAGCAAGAATCTACCTGCTGGCCAGCTTCTCTCTGTAGGTTTCAAGACACTCCCAACAGCCTCCTGAGCTACAATGTACTCTAGCCCAATGGTTCTCAATTTTCCTAAAGCTGCAATATCTTAGTTCAATTCTTCTTGTTATAGTGACCTCCATCCATAAAATTATTTCATTGCAACTTCGTAACTGTAATTTTTGCCACTGTTATGAATCAGAATGTAAATCTCTGTTATGCAGGATATCTGATAATGCGACTCCCACGGGGTTGCAACTTCTCCCCTCACGGCCATCCTTGAAGGGAGCCAGCAGGGCCCACAGCTGCTCAGGCTCTACCTTGTCTCCTCCTGCTTGGAGGTGGGGCTGAGCACAGCTCCTCAGGCTGTGCCTTCATTTCTCCCTGCTTGTTAGCAGCTGTGGTTAGTAGGTACCAGGAGGATGGATGGATGAGGGCGGGAGGTAGGACCCTGTGGTGGCCAGAAGACGAAATAGCAGAATCCATACAGCAGCTGGAGATTTGAGTGTGTGAGGTGCTCCTCCTCCTAAAATAAGGTCAGTGGCCTCATCCACCAAAGGAACAGAGTCAGCAGCACAAACAAATGGGACACGGTTCTCTGGGGACCTTCCCTGAGCTTGGTGGAATGGGAGTCTGTTTATCCCTAGATAGCTGAGGAGCACACCAGGTGGGGGTTGCCCATGTACTGTCACAATGTCCAGCCCTGTTGGCTGGCGAGGAGCTATTCGTGAGGAGTGAACCAGCCAGGGCTACTGTGCTAAAGGACAAAGCACAGATGTCAAGGTGAAAACCTGTGACCATCCAAGAGCTGGAATATGCATGCTGAACCCTGGCTCAAGTTCTCAGACAAATCTGAGGCAGAGACCTGTGCAGAAGGGTCAGCAGGGAGAGTGGTGGAAAGGAACCCTGGGGAAGACAGCAAGCAATCAATACTGTGATACTGAAAGCTTTCTGGAGCCTTACCTAGAGCCCTGAGTTGGGGGAGGGGACACCTCAGAATTTTTACTCAGACCTTTGAGTCCACCACACTGACTAACATTTGCATGTGCCCCTTCATCTCCTGCCCACTCCAGACATCACCTTGGGTGAGCCAGCATCCTGAGAGGAATTCATTGGTTAGGAGCTGCAGGAAGGGGGTACTAAGTTGCCACACACACTCTGGTGGCTTTTTTGGAGAGTAGACAATATTTGGCCTAGAAAAACAAAGTAATCTTGGAAGTCTGAATGGATGAGGAGGCACTTTACATAAGATGGTGATTTCCAAGTATGAGAACAGGCAGAGAACAGTCAAGGCATGTTCAGATTTCACCAGGCTAACTGGACCCGAAGAAGGCTGTCTAGACAGACAGACAAGGACAGGGCACTGCTGCAGCTTCCTGGGACGATGGGATTGTCTTCTGTCACATCTGTATCTGATTGAGAAAGAGCAACTCAAGGCAAGAGCCAGGTTCTGGAGCTAGCAGTCTACTAGCTCTGGGGCTGGGACACAAATGGCAGAGCCAAGAGGCAGGAAGGTCAGATTGTGTGGAAGAAGCAAGGTCACAAGGACCAGTGACCTGCTGATGGGAGGGGCACCTCAGGCCCCCAACCAGTTTGATGAGGGAAAGTGGAGCAGACTGTTTCTGCTTTCAGATCTTTAGTTGGGGGAGGCAGGGAGGCCAGGACTAACGAGTAAAGCCAGGTCTGACCCCTGTTGATGCTGCAGTTTGACCTCCAAGCAAGCTGACCCCAGGCAGGTGGGAGGGGAGACTTCCTTACTGAGGAGTTAGGGTAGAGGTGTGTCTACTTCCTAAGGAAGCTCCCCCTTGTTTGTGGTGCTGGGGATGCAACCCAGAGCCTCCCACACTAAGCATGAGTCCTCACCTCACCTCTGTTTGCTCAAGGATGTCTCCTCCTCCCTCTAGAGCTGGCCTTCCCCACTCCTGTGCATCCTCTCCCTTTAAGCAGGAAGGGATCATGTTACCCTGTTTAATCAACTCCTCAGAGTCCTCAATTCCGGCTTCCTAAAACACAGAAGTTGAAGCAGAAGCAGAGGAAGGAATCCAAGCTAGGTTCCCAGTCAGGGGAAGGAACCAAAAGGGAGTTATTTATGTTTACATCCTCTGAAACAATGAACTTTTCAGTGGTAGTTTTTATTGGAAGTTTTTATATTATATCCATCCATATTTTGTTTAATTTAAAAAAATAACCTTGTGTCTGAAGTGTGACAATATGGCAGCGCCTCCTTTGAGTGCTAATACTATTGCTGTTGTAAAGTTTGCTTTGAAGAAGGGGAAACTGTGAGTGCCTGAGGAGTCGGTTCAGATTGTACTGGTCACCAGAGGCAGAGTTGGGGTGTTGACCCCTTCACTTGCTGCTGTCGTGGAGCTGAACGCCTGGGCTTTCCAGCAATCCCAGAGTGATCTGAAAAGACAGTCACATGGAGAGATAGAGAGAGTCCAGGGAAGTCATGCTCTCTCTCTCTCCAAGACAAATGCAGTCAGCAGCCATGAGTGTGCAGTGACTCACACCTGTAATCCTGACACTCTGGAGACTGAGACAGGAGGCTCACTACAAGTCTGGGGCAAGGCAAGACCCTCCAAAAAACTACCAAAAGATCCCCCAAAAAACAAAAAGAAATGGACACATAGATACCAAATTGTATGGTACATCGACCTCTGAGGGTGGGATTATGGGTAATGCTTATTTCTTCATGGCATTCTCAAAGTGTGTATGGTGAGAAAGAGTTTTATTTGTTTGTATCCAGAGTTTCTAAATTCTTCATGATGGGCTTGAATTCACTCCGTGGCCCAAACTGTAAAAACTTGTTTTATTACATCGTGTACGTGTGTGCATGTATGTGTGCATGCTTGCATGAGTCCTTGTGTGCTTGCCTGCTTGCCTGCTTGTGTGCATGGGTGCTTACATGCTTGTGTGCCTATGTGATTGCTTGCATGCTTATGTACTTGCTTGAGTACGTGCAGGCATGCGTGCTTCCATGCATGAGCTCTTTTCATATACCTTGTGGGTTCCTGGGATCAAAGTCAGGTTGCCAGCAAGCACCTTTTTCTGCTAAGCCATCTTGCCACGCCCTGGCTTTAAACTCTTCCTTCTTCTGCTTCAGCTTCCCTGGTGTAGGGATTACAGATGTAGGACGCCACACCTGACTAAAGAACGTTATTATTTTTACCATCAAATAATGCTGTAGCAAGTCTGCTCTTAGCCCTAAGCTCTGGGAGACAGGAATAGAGCTGGAGTGTTGGTTAAATTTCTGATCAGCCTGTGTAGCTGAGTCTTGGGAGAGGTAACCAGGAAGACCACTCAAAACTGTAGTTCAACCAAGACATAGTACAGGCTGTGCATGGGGTCATATGACTATCATCTGCATTTGAGAGGCTGAGGTAGAAGAGTCACAAGTCACCCTGGCTACATGATAAGACAGTGACTCTAAAAACAAAAACAAATGACCTAAAGACTGAGTGGCAGAGTCTGAGGTGCCTGGGGCTCACCCTTTGGTCGAGGACCATCTTCCTACAGATCAAGGTTCTCGGCTCTGAGCACTGCGGTTTGAGGTTACTACAGGCTTTGAGAAGAAAGGCCTGGTGTGCAGCTGGAGATTCTGAGCCTAGAGATAGGAGCCGTAGGGACAGGAGTAGAGAGGAATGAAGGGGGGATAGAAGATTCTAGCTGGAAGATATATCCTCAGGTCCACCATGTAAAGAAGGGCCTTGACTAAGGGGTACTCTGCTAAGTGGGGTGAGGTTGGGGAGTAAGGGACACAGGCAAGAAGCACACTCTTGTGGGACTGAGGTAAGGAAGGAAGGTGTCCTTTGGTGTCCTTCTGCTAAGGAAGGAGACTGCCTCTGGCTTACTCTGCTCTGTGACACTTGGGTCCCATCACGGCATTCTCAAGCTGATCTTGTTTTTCCTTTGACAGAGACCACCTGGGAACGTCCCAGCAGTTCTCCTGGGATTTCAGCCAGCCCTGGCCCTCACAGGAGCTCTCTGCCTCCAACAGGTAAGAGACACTCAGCAGCTTGGGATAAGTGGGAGGACTGTATACCCACTTTCACTGGGAATCTGAGATTGTAGGTCCTAGGTCCTGAAACCTGCTGTGGTTATGTTGTAAACCAGACCTGGAGATGGTCCAGACCATGTCTCTAAAGCCTGCTTCCCTACATGGTGGTCATGCCTAGGCAGGACCAGCTGCAGCTATGGGAACCTAAGACTCTTGGCTACCGAGATGCTTAGGATGAGATCTGGCTGGGTGAAGTCAGGGGTCAGAGATCTTTCTAGATACAGAGCAGAACAGCTCCACATGGCTCTCATCAGCACTGAGGAGCAGAAGCTAAAGGGAGGTTGAGTTTTACAGGGGAATTTTTAAAAAGGAATATTCTGGAAAGGAAGTGAGCTTGTTTGTTAGAATGTGCGTTATCTGTAGAGGTAGCTGAATGGCATTCTTTGAGATATACATTCCCATACTAGGTATGAGAATTATCCAGAAATGTCTTAGGTTCTAATTCTTAGATGTTATGGAGAGGATTACGGGGCTTGGCAACAGGGGAAACAATAGTTTATTATTTCTCTGTGTTCCCCTCCTCTAGGCAGCCTTCCCAGACTACTCTGTTTGGGGCCCTCCATCTCTTAATCTGTATCAGTGTGTGTGGCCTTAGTGCATTCCAAGTTCTTCTCTCTGTTGAGGCTCTCCTCCCATGATGTACTAAGGGTAGGGCCTGGATGTCTCCTAGTGCTCTGGTCTCTACATCTCCACACAGAGCCTAGCTTCCTTGATGCAGGAATTCACAGTCATTAGTTGCCTCTTCAGAGACTACTCAGCACACACAGGCTTATCAGAGTCCTGTGGTTTCACATGCGGGGGATGAAGCACTGGGTGAAGTTGACTTGGACCTCTACAGAGGCCTAGAAGTCACAGACCCTCCATCACCTAGAAGCATGTCAAGAGCACTCCATAGCCCAGCTTCAAGAGTGCCAGGCCTCTAGGGGGTTAAGAAGGGTTGGGAGATAGGGAAGAGGGTCAGAGGGACCTGGCCAGTGGCTGCCCACACCTCAGCGGCTTAGCATGGCATTTTCCAAGTCTAAGACCATAAAGTCCTGCACAACCAGCTCCCTAGCAAAGGAGCTTAATGGTCGTGTTCTCTTTGGAGGTTTGGTGGACATGCCCTGTTCTAAAAGTCACCTGATGCACGCACACATTTCATAGGGACTCCCATTGTGTTCATTCACAGCATGCTATGTACTTGCCAGCACGGCTGAGGCTGATCTCAACTCTGAGAAGCTCTTTCTTCCAGGGGACATTGGGTAGGGTCTAAGACTGTCACAAGGAAAGGCACTCATGGGCATCTTCTAGGAAGACTCCAGGGCTCTTGTTCCAAAGGGCACAGGAGAGGGTCACAGCAAAGACTCTTGGGCTTACAGGACTGCAGTGAGAGTTCAGAAACTGTTCTGAGGTACAAAACGTCCATCTAGGACTGCTCATAGTAGGGATCTTGGTCTTTCAGGGGTCTCTGGGTCATGCATGACCCTTAAGGACAGGGAAGAATGATTTGTCTTCTTTGGTTTCATACCCATTTTAGTGTGGGGCACATCAGCTATATCATAGGCTGGCGAGAGTATCCCAACTGAATGTGAGGCCCCTTTTTCCTTTATTTAAAGTCCAAGTGTGTCTACTCTTGGTGTCAGTCTGTAGTTTGTGAGATTATTACTTATTTCCTCGGGGTCTTGGCCATGTTGCTTCTGCCAGCAGGCCTCTTACCCATCAGTCATACATTAGTAGCCCAGAGGGTGACCATAAGAGGCCCTGGCCTGGCTTCATGAGTTTGATCATGTTAACTGTGGAGCATAAAGATACCTCAACAATCCATTGGCCCTCCACCCTCCTTCCTACCATCATCTAAAGATCCACTCTCCACCTCCCACCCCACCATCCACCCCTGTTCTAACTTCATCCTGTTGCTGTGATAAAACACTCTTATCAAAAGTAATTCAAGGGAGGAAAGGTGTTATTTCAGCTTATAGGTCACAGCCTATCACTGAGGGAAGTCAGGGAAGGAACCTTAGAGGAACACGGCTTGCTGACTTGCTCACTGGCTAATGATTAGCTGGCTTTCTTATACAGCCTTGGACCACCCGTCTAGGATGGTGTCTCCCACAGTGGGCTCAGCTGTCCTGCACCAATTATTAATCAAGCCAATCTGATCTATACAGCTCCCCAGTTGAGCCTTCCCTCTCAGGTGACTCTAGGCTGCATCAAGTTGACAATTAAAGCTAACTAGGATAATTCTCTACCCCCTAACAGACATCATTCTTCCTCTATCCATCTCTTACCCTCCAATCCCATCATCTTCCCTTCATCCACCCTGTTCCCCATCATCCTCCCCCTTTCCACCCTCCTCCATCTTCCATTCAACCATCCTCCCTTTACAGACCTTCACCCATTCTGTATCTTTACCCCCACACTCTGTTCTCACCCTCTTTCCCCCCTAACTCTCCACCTTCCCATCATCTTCCCTCCATCTACTTTCTTCCATTCCTGCATCCATCCTCCATCCCTCTTCCATCCTCCCCATCCATTCTCCATCCTCCCTCTGTCTTCCAACTTCTCTCCATCAACCCTCCATCTTCATGGACCATTCCAGTGAGAGCAGGGTCTGGCATATGCTAGTGTCTTCTTTCTTTATGTTCAAATCTAAGTCAAGTCAATAAAGAATGAAGTAGTGGCCACTCTATTTCTCTGTAGGGGAATCACAAGTTTTTGTCCCCTAGCTCTTTTTCTCATTTAGTTTCACAGAGACTGATTATTGTGGGAAGAGAAACAGACACAGCAAGAACCTAAGGTTACTTCAGAGATGCACCAAATCCTTGGGCTCTTGAGGATGTAACCTTCTGTCATGAAGATGCAACAGGGCTAGGTCTCAGAGCTTTCTGTTTCTGTGAAAGTCACTGTTGCAGTGTATTAATTTCTTTAATTTTAAATTTTTATTTATTATTACTCTGTGTGTGTGTGTGTGTGTGTGTGTGTGTGTGTGTGTGTGTGTGTGTGTAATATATGAGTGCCAGTGTGCCAGTGTGTGTGCCACAACATCAGAGGTCAGAGAACAACTTTGGGAAATTGGTTCTGTTGGAAGACCCCTGTGACATATCATACTTAGATTGTCAGCTTGCCCAGCAAATACATTTACTGACTGAACCATCTCGTGGCCCCCGTCAACCATCTTTGTCCCCAAGTATGCCACTGTTTCCCATTCCCTGGAACAGACATCCTGGGGCACTTAGACAAACAAGCACAAAGGAAATAGGTCAGGCACTCCCTGCACGCTCTGACAAGGAGTGAAAGTGGGGCACTGTGACAGTGGCTGGGGAATCAGAAGACCTCGGCAAAGAAGTGACATTTAGGACAAGATTTGGGGACAGTGAGAAGGGACGGTTAGGGAGGGGTGGGAGAGGCAATGACTCTGGCCAGGAACAGCTAAGTCAAAGGTGCTAAGGCAGCAACAGCTCAGTCTCATGAGTGGACTTGAGAACAGAAAGGGGTCAGCTGAGGGAGGGGTCAGTGGTCCAGACAGGAGGGAGCTGGGGACAGGGTCTGCTAAGCCAGGTAAGCTGAGAAACAAACATACTAGATCTCATGTTGCCTGTGGAGGTAAAGAGGAGCAAACAGCTGTCAGACTGCACAAACATTCAGCTCTCTGTTGGGAGTAGTAAGGTTTTACATCGTGTGTGTGTGTGTGTGTGTGTGTGTGTGTGTGTGTGTGTGTGTGTGTATCTATGTGTATCTCTATGTCTGTATCTGTGTGTATGTCTCTGTGTGCATCTCTGTGTCTATGTCTGTGTATCTGTGTGTATGTCTCTGTGTGTACGCCTGTGTGTGTATCTCTGTGTCTATGTCTGTGTGTGTCTGTGTATCTCTGTGTCTATGTCTGAATGTGTGTATCTCTGTGTCTATGTCTATGTGCCTGTGTCTATGTCTCTCTCTGTGTGTGTATCTCTGTTTCTATGTCTCTGTGTGTGTGTGTGTGTGTATCTCTGTGTCTATGTCTGTGTATATATGTGTGTGTCTATGTGTCTCTGTGTGTATGTGGTTGTGTCTGTGTATGTCTTGTCTGTGTGCATGCATGCGCGTGTGCGTGTGTGTCTGTGAAGGGCAGTGTAGAAAACCCAGTCACATTTCCTGACCGCAGACCACAAACATCCCTCTGGTCCCTCCTGAAGAAAAACATGGGATTCTGGACAATGTTGGGAAACCACAGATTAACCTCACCAAGCTGCCCAGGGGTAGAAGTGTAGGGGTGAGGGAGCTCAGTTTTAATTCCAGGAGCCCTCCTGCCTTCCATGCTGGTTCACTTCTCCCCCTATTAGCAAAACCAGCCAGGTTCCCAGCTGGGAAGGAGAAATCTACATATAAACCTGAACCCTTAGAATACATTCTTCTTTTTAAATCTTGGGTGATATTTACAGTGACTACTGAGCCAGGGACCTGGCCCACATTGCCTCTTTTAATGTCACCAGAGTTATGAGGCTCTGTGGATTCAGTGGCTTTACTAGGGTTGCCTGCTGCCAGGCTTTCTAAATGAAAAGCCATTCAAACCACAACAGAACTCCTGAGAGCCTTTCAGTAACTGCTGGTAACATCAAAGTCCCTCTCTGGGCTGGTTTAGCACACATTGTGGAAGTATTGGTTTGTGGAGAGATAAATAGTATCAGGCACAGGGGAGAAAAACACAGTAAAGGCAGTGTGTTCTTTGCGTATCATTCCTGAGTCGCTTGTAGGATAAAGGACAACAGAGAGTGATGCTGTCCTCTCTATAGAGCTTGTGGGGACAGCGAACACGGCCAGCATCTCATGCCCAGTACTGAGGCCAATGGCCATTTGAGCTTCTCATGTGACTAGTATGTCTGAGAAACTAAAATTTTAACTTACTTTAATTTAATAACTTTTAAAAATCTTTTGGAACAATTTTATGCTTGCAAAGAAGTAGAAAAAAACAGCAGAGCAGGTCT